ATAAAAATTCTAACTAATCAAAATTAGCAAAACTTACAAAAATTTGGAAAAAATTAAAAAAAATTTGGAAAAATTTGACTAACATTAAAAAATTTGGAAAAATTTGGATTGATTTGGATCCAAAAAATTTCCGGTCCCTGCATTTAACGAATTTACATATATAGATAATCAATCTAGTCACGTGCGAATTCTTCAAGAACTTTTTCCGGAATTCGACGATGAGAACGATATTTCTTTACCGCAAAGGCAGCAGCCTTTCTGGAAAGTCCAAGTTTATAGGCACTCATAAAGCGTTCAGAACGACGAGCAAAGCGACGAATCTTTATTAAACCAACGGAATCTAATGCTCTTGGAACAGTTCTTTTGAGACCCCTAAAGCTGTAATCACAACTAAGCCTTGCAACACGTTTTGCTTCAGCCCAAAAAGATTCAATATAGTTAAGTTCACAATGGAACTTAGGGTAAAAGATGCACATGTGGCCGGCTGCTTCAATTACCTCTTGTATACGTGATCGTTGTGATGCAAAATCGGATTGAGCAGAAAGAATACGCGTGGCACAACATTTTGGATTTTTCGGGTCAGGCTTATTTTTTTTGCATGCATTACACCGTTTTATAAGACCTTGTATCCATAAATTACGTTTGTCAAATACTCATTTAATTCCTTTAGGTCTAACCACACCTTTGTCGTCGATATATGTCATCACGTGTGTAGAACCATCCGGCTTGGTACCATCACGAAGAAGTGGCATTTTAGTACCATCACCCATGTTTATCCGTGAAACCAATAAAGCATCATCAGCAAACGCACCATGATTACTACTATTATCAAACATAAACAGTGCTATTTTATTAGGGTGCGTTCGTTCAAATATTGGTATAGCACGTTCAGTTAGTTGATTAATAAGATCATTGCACGTCCACCAACCATCCCGATTTGAACCTGGATAAATAATAACACAGGCTTCGGTATGTTTAAGTTTAAGATCCGAATCATCAGGAAGCAGGCCGTTTATGTAACGTTCGTACCCTGAAAGTTTGAGACGTCCAATTGACTGACAGATGAAATCGCTAACATGCATGTTAAGTCCTTGTGACTTGTTACGAAGCATGCTTTCACCCTTTGGACCCCAAACCTTGTGCATACCGTCGTTGGCGTAAAATGGAGTTTCATCATGAGTGACAGGAACTATTTCACGAATACCAGGAGGAAGGCTTGGTAAGATAATATTTTCTAAATTTTCACCTTTGTAAGTGGCCATTCGGGGTTGTAATTCATCCATTTTTTGCAAAAAGTAGTTTCTATATTTGACTACATCTTCGCGCTCATGGCCGTCAAAATAAATAGTTTTTGAATGGCCTTGATATTTCCATCCAAGTAAGTTTAGCCATCTACATGCGGTCGATCTACTAATAGTTGTTCTTTCCGTAATTCCGAAAGCAGGAATAGCGACATCTTTTATATAGCTTATAAAATTTGGAATAGTTAAGCTGAACTTATTTTTTTCCAAATACTGTTCCACGCTTAATCGGAATTGTTTGTTATGTATGAGAGATTTTACTTTTGCATGTTTGCCACGCCTTGATATTATTAATTTCGATTGGCTTTCCATTGGTTTGCCCAGGTACGAATAAGTCGTGTGTACCACGGACCTTTACCAAGACTTTCCGCCAAGAGTTTACTCGCATACATTTTAGTGAAACGTTGATTTTTAACAAGAAGAAGATATTGTCTTGTTGTATTAAGACGTAAATAATTAACAGTTTCTGTTTTTAATAGTGCATTTAATGATGATATAGAATCATCATCATTAGCGCTACTACGGGGAGTCTTATTAGCGCTACTACGGGGAGTCTTATTAGCGCTACTACGGAGAGTCTTATTAGCGCTACTACGGGGAGTCTGATTAAATGAGCTAATGGGTTTCGACACTGTAGATTGATTGTCATTAATGGGTTCAAATATTGTAGGTTCATCATTTTTGGATGAAATAACATTAGTCGATTCAACGTGTTGCGAAGACGATTTATTCTTCCAATACGTGGTAATGGCTTTTCAGCAATGTCTTGTACGTTTGCTTAGTTTTGGCATTTTTTATTTTATTATTGTTATGTATTTAAATTGAAGATTTCGTTGAGGTATACTAAAAAGTTAAGTAAAATCTAATCTGATAGTCTTTTTATGCGTATATTTATAGGAGAGGTTTTTTTCGAATTTTAACAGCTGCTCCACCTTGTTTGGTGTGTTGAAAATGCGTCAAGGATAACCCAAGCTTGCAGAAGGAGTGCTTCTTCCTGCGTTGCGAACACAAAGTAAATTTTCCAATTATATAATATAATTGAAAATTTTACTTTGTATTTGCAGCTGTTAAAATTCAAAAAAGACCCTTGCTTGCATTTACTAGGTATGTATATAGATTATGTACGTACGTACGTATCAAAAGTTAATGGATGTCTGAAACAACAAATATGCTACATAACTGGTCTGATGTACATTAAGATCCTCCGCTAAGCTTTGAACAATAATTGTCGCGGCTGATGCTGAAATTTGGACCTATTTTGATATGAATTTTTAAAAAATTTTTTAGAGTATTTTATCCCGCTTTTTTTTTTTTATGGTTAAGTTAGTGCTTAGGGTTAGAATTGATAATTAAAGAGTATATGTGGATTTTAGCTACGTATGCTTATATTTTCAAATCACGACCCCAAATTTCAGCAACAATAATTGATATCACTACGTACGTAATATGTCTATACATTTATCTCGAGAATCAATCAATCTCTAATAATGCTAATTATATTTACATACGTATATCTTAGTGATTCAAGAAATGCATGCACCAATCGAGCATCAATCGAGCATCAACACGTACGTAGCATCAATCGAGCATCAATCTGGCATCAATCGAGCATCAATCGGGCATCAATAGCATCAATCAGAATATTATTTCTGATTGATGCCTATTGACGCCTGATTGACCTTTTGGAACCAGCAATAGGGAGGTCTATTGACACTTTATTGTACATGATTGATGAAGGAGAAATACATACGTATACAAGTTTGTTTCAGATAGAGTTGGAATCCTTTGAATATCCATCACGGCTATTTAATGAATATTCATAGAGAATTCGCGGATATTCAGATAATCTCAAGTGATTGCTCCTTCATATTTATCAACTATTCGCACAGAATATTCACACAGTTATTTACACAGATATTCGCACAGAAATATTCATGCAGAATATTCACACAGATATTTTACACGATATTTGCAAAGAATATTCATACAGATATTCATAATTCTTTGACTATTCACGGATTTTGTGTAACAGAATATTCACTGCTAATTGAATATTCGCGGATCCCAACTCTAGTTTCAGAACTAGCATATACGTACGTATAATGCTGCTACGTAAAGTCAAGGCTTTGAGACGTGAAACGATTTGGCAAGTATACTATGTATGGGTGTTTTCAAGTACGTAGCCACGTACATAGTTATTGTTGTGGTGCTCAACTACGTATTATATCGAATTTAGACATTGTTGAAACTCCGTACGTAAGTGTCCCATCTTTGTATCTTAGTAAGAACCTACGTAAAATAAGCACATCAAAATCAGAAGCGTTCGACTCATGCGTACGTACGTACGTATACATAATATATTTATTAACAATGTTAATTTAATGCTACGCAAATTTTTTTTCAAATGTTTCACCCCAATTATCAAGACATTGAGCTATAATTTCCATTCCCTGCCGGAATAC